AAGGAGGCTGGAGCGCGGCGCACAGAGCCCGCGGCCGCGGGCGCGCTGCAAAAAGGCGGCCTTGGATTGCCGCTGCCCGCTGGTCCCGCACTCCGGCCCCCGCCCGGGGACTCTGCGCCAGGCCTCCCGGTACCGCGCTGGTCTCTCGTTCCTTCCCCCAGAACCACAGGAATAAATCCTGGCAGCAAAGCACAGAAACTTCCTACCGCAGCGGGAGTGCGCAGGGAGCGCCCGCGGTGCTGGGGCCGCGCGGGCACTCGGGCCCTTCCCCGGCCCCTCCGTCTCTAGTCCTCCCTCCCGGCGGGCACCGGCAGCAGCGCCACCGCCGCCCTCAGCCTCCCCTGGGTCCAAAATGGGAGGCTGGCCCCACGACCCTCGACCCTCGCGGTCCCTTCGACCCCCCGCGGTCCCTTCCGGCCCGGGATTGTGGGCGGCTGCTCCCGCGAGGCCCAGGCATTAGCCGGCACCTCGCAAGGCGCCTTCTCACAACTAAATCACCGTGGAAGCTTCCCAGCCAATAAATCACCTGCCCACCGGGGGGGAGAGTCCCTCCCACTCCCCGTGTTTGAGACCAGCCGGGCCGATTCAGTGAGGAGCCAGACTTGGCCTGCAAGACAGATCTGCAACCTCCTACTCCATTCCTCGAGGCTCTGCATTTTCAGATTTCACCCCTTTCTAAGATATGACTCATCACTGTCAATTTTCACTATAATTCTTATAGGTCAAAGGAAAAGTCTGTCAAGGCACAAAAACAGCAAGCCCTCCTCCGGTCTGGAAAAGAGTGACCTCGGTTACTTAACAAAAGTATCATTCTAATTACAACCGCATCCTGGACTACGTGCAAGGCTTCTCCACGGGGGACATGGAGAGGAATGAGGCTGCCCTGTCCTCAAGGAGCTCCATGGCAAATAGGTAAACAGATCAATCTCTGGGCCCTTAGAAAAGCATCAGAGGAACAAAGGGCTGTGGGTGGGGCTGGGAGGAGGAAGCAATTTACACTGCTGGTGTCTTAGAGGAAGTGACAAGGAAGAGCGTGAGCCTGCCAGGTGTGCTCAGCAGGGCTTCAAGCAAAGGAGTCAGCCAGGAAGGGCATACAGAACATTCTGGGAACTGCAAGGAGGACAGGGTGTGCAGAAAAGAGGGCCAGCAGGTAAGACTGGAGTGGCAGGAGCGGATCGGGTTGCAGAGAGCCTTTTAGACCAGGCTGAAGCCTATGGTCCATGAAAAGACTGGATAAGGATGGCTCCAGTGGCAGAGTGGCTGTGGCCTAGGGGCAGACTGGCTGCAATCCAGAGACCAGCTGAAGAGGCTGGTGAGATAACCCAGGAGTGAGATGAACTCGACCTCAGCCATCAGAATGAATGCTGCTTCATCCACTCTAAGTATTTACTGTGCACCTAGCACTGGGAGGAATTTAAAAGTAGCCATGGACCTTTATTAAAACAGATTCGTTTTTAGCAGGTAAGATACATGTGTGTGGAGTCATTACAGAAACATCTGGGATTTAATTCAGCCAAAGGCACGGACTGTGTAGTCCAGAGCGCCTTCCCCAAGATGGTGAGGCTCGCCCAGATCACAAAGAACTGACAGCATGTGCAGAGGTGGAGGGGGTTCGGAAGGCCCTCCATGAAAGACAGAGGTGGTTATAGGAGAAGAGTCTACACAAAGTCGAGGTGGGTGACCCGGCGTGAGTGTGATGGTGGAATTCCAGGACCAGGCCACAGGACACACGACAGCCCCCCGAGGAGAGGCCGGCACAATGGAGGCGGCGACTGAGGAAGGCTGACTAGAACAGCAGGCTAATGTGGTGGAGCTGAGCAAACTTGAGTGCAGATTCTGATTCTTCCTCTGGACATCACCCATTCAACTAATAATTATTAAGTATCTTCTATATGCCAGGACTTTACATATATTAATTTAAAATCCTCGCAACCTAAAAGAAATGCATTATCTTCGCTTTACAGACAAGGAAGCTAAGGCACAGATGGTTACAGAGAAAAAGATAGAATTCAAACCCAGGCTCCAAAATCTATGCCCTTCACTGCCACGCCCTGTGTAAAATGGAGGTACGAGTCTGAACCATTTTTAGTCATGGTACCATTATCAGTGACTGCCCTTTCCTGTTGGCCCTAACATCAAGTCACCAAGTCCTCAGTATTCTTCCTACGAATGGTCTTTCAATGTCCTCCTTTCTTGCCTATTACAGTGCTAGTCCCAGGCCAAGCCCTTATTCCTCTCTCCTACTAGCTGGCCTATTAACCCAGCTCCCTCATTCAGCCATTTACAAGCCCCTGCAAGGAATTTCTCAAAACCACCAAGTTCACCATGAGTCCCATACTGTCCTGCTCCCACCCCTCTCTCAGGATAGCTTTAACCTATTCAGAGTGGTGGGAACACACCTTAGCCCTGAATTCAGGGCCCTCCAGGATCCTGTCTCTGTCCACCTTTCTAACCAGATGTCCAGTAATGCCAACTGATCCACGCTGCAACTGTCTGAACTCCAGACTCTGGGCTACCTTTTCTACTCTCTACAGCCTACTCAAGATACCTCCAGTTTACTTCAAACCCAAGTCCAACTCCCTCCCACTCCAAAAGGAAATTTCCCTGACCATTCCCTCCCATTCATCTGGCATTTATTTATTTGTATAAGGTCTCATGTACTAATAGAGTCTACGGCTCTGAAGACAGGTACTGTATCTTACTCTATTTGGCTCCCAATAGCATTAGGCAGTTGGAGCTCCCATGTTTCTGATATATATATATATATATATATATATATATATATATATATATATATATATATATATATATATATATATATATATATAACAAACCATGAGATGACAGGTTGGTTGGGCTAGGGTGGTCACTGTGGGAAATAGTTAAAAATCAAAGGGTTCATTTTGAACTGTGACTTTCTTGGTTCCATGACATGAAACTCTCCTGATTTTCCTCATATCACCTGGCTTAATTCTCTATTCAACCTCTAAATGTTGGAGTCTTCCCACGGCTTTGTTCAAGGCTTCCTGCTGCTCTCAAACTCCCTCCCAATATATCTCCCACTGCACCCTGGGCTCTAAATATCATTCAAGATTCTTATGACTGTTCCCAAGGCTGAATCTATGGTCCAAACCCACTGGGAACACTTGCTTGAATGTCTCAGACATTTCAAACTGCTTCTAGAAATATGCATTTGACATCTGGTGGTGAACACAGACCACTTCTGTCAATGCATTTCAATGACTATGCTATCAAGTGCAAAGCACCATTGGCTCCACTTAAAAAAAAAAAAAAGGAAGTAAAAGCTTCATGTGGCCTGCACTGTTACTTCTCTATGGAAAGCCACAAGGCCTCAAAACTGGTAAAACATCTGCTGCTCAGAGACCAGCCTTTACCTTGTGGTTTACCAGAAATGTAGAGGAGCCTTTAAAATCGAAACAAAGCCAACCCACTCAGAGTTGGTCAGTGATCAGCATAGGTCAATATGTTAAACATTCCTTTCCCTCTATTAATTCATTTCCTTTCCCTCTATTAATTCATTTCTCTTCAAATGAAGACCTTAAAGTCTTTAAGACTAATTTAATAATTAACATTATCGATTTAAAAATAGACATGTCTCGGCATACCTTGGAGATATTGCGGGTTTGGTTTCAGACCACTGCAATAAAGCAAGTATTGCAATAAGTGAGTCATGATGTTTTCGCTGGTGGAGGGTCTTGCCTTCTATTTGTTAAAAAAAGGGGGGGGGGGCCGCGACATCTGTGAGGTCTGCCTGTACTCTAAGCTTCTGAATGTCAGCTCACAGACATGGTCTGTTTCTTAGTAGTGGAGCTGAAATTCAGCATTTCCAGCGCTGAAATCCCAGGCCTCATGAATTACTTCTACGTCCCTTACCTTTTCCGTGCCTGACGGTGTACAGAGACTAGAATGCTAGGATGCGGAGGGTGAAGGGGAAAGAAGACTGTGCTCACTTAAAAGGCGGTAACGTGGGCTGGGTCCCTGCCGAGTGCTCAGCAGCCTGCTCGCCACGCTCCACAGACTTGCGGCCGGGCCACTCTCAGGACTTGAACTGAGGGGCTGGCGGGTGTTGGTTTCCACTTAACCTGCACGTGTTCCTTGGGAGCAGAAAACAAGTCCTTTGCTAGTTCTGAACCCTCACAGCCAGGTGAGATCCAAATATAAATATAAATTTATTTATGGCAAGGGGATTATTCTTTGCTTTGTTTTATAAACTTAGTTTGTGGCTGTGCTCCAGTTTCACATATGTTGACATATAACATTGTATAAATTTAAGGTGTACATGTTAATTTGATACACAAATACTGTAATATGATTGCCATTGTAGTGATAATTAGAACCCCTGTCATGCTACATAATTATGCTCCAGTTTTTAGACAAACAGCTGTAGTTTTCCATTACTGAGTTAAAATTTCATATCATCAGGAGTTACCTATCTGTAAGTTCCTAGTAGAGAATATTTAATGCCTGGCTTTAAAAAAAGTGAGTTACCTGAACACAGTATTTACTGTTAACCTGTGTTTTAATAGGCTCTGGAAAGCTCTATTTCTTATTTTTGGTAGAATGCAAAGAAAATGAGATTCAAACTCAGAAGTTCTGGGACCTAGTCTGCTCCTCTGTTCCATAAAGGAAATTTTGACATGGCTGTTTATGGACACAGCCAGTTTTGAAATGGGAGATACTTAATAGGAATAAACATAATTGGGTCACAATGCAGTAACATTTCTCTTATGATAAAATTTTACGTTCCAAAGTACCTGGTGCTATTGCCGAGCCTGCCCCACGTCAGAGCCTCCCGAGCCCTGTGCCCATGGCCTACCCAGATGCTGACCCTCTCCACCCTCGGGGAGGCAGGGTGGGCCTAGGCTAGCAGCTTCGCTGTTATGCGTCATGATATGAAACCGGCAGGGAAACACCACTCTATGCAACAACAGAAACAGCTAACACTGAGTAGTGCTAGGGCACGTCTTAAGGGCTACGTGCACTGACTTACTGAAACATCACAACCTTCAATGAGTCAATCAGGGACTACTATGATCTCCATTTTCCAGAAGGAAAAACTAACCATACCATCAATCCAGGGTCAAGGGTGACATCTGTGAACAACTGGGAGCCTCAGGGATGGGTGAGGCCTAAGAATGGAGTCCAGGACAGGGTGCAGATCGCAGATGGTGCGATGGGCATCTGTTGCCTTTGTTTGCCTTTCAAGGTAAGTGTTCTCAAAAATCTATAAAAGTAAGTAAGGGCTATATTCTCATAACTTATTCTTGCCTCAATTTCTTCATCTTTTAAATTAGCAAAAAATACCTGCCTTATCCATTTCAAAAAATTAAACATCAAACTGGATAGCAAGGAGAAGAGTAGTAGGCTGGGGCTAAGTCCCTCACAGAGTAAGGTGCACTGATCGCCCTCATCTGCTCCTGGAACTCCCAACATTCTTCTTCTCAAGGGCTGGATCTGACCTGTGTCCGCAGCAGAGAAGAGAGGCAGGACAAGGGGACTGTGCCTCAGAAATGGCTAAAAAATAGCTCTGCATTAACTCCTGGCTGAGAGCTTTCACAATTAACTCCCACTGGTGAATTTTAACTAGTGCATCACAGTCAGAAACGCACACCAGGACTTCGAAAAGTGACTTCACTCAATCCTCTTACATAACTGTTTGGAAAACACTGTCGGTATTAAAATGATTCCCACTGTGAAAATGGCTCCTTCTGCTCTACCCTGTTTTCTGCACAAAATTTTATGTTAATAACTTACTGGTTCTCAGGGGACTGAAGAGCAGGCATATGTGCAAGTAAGCAATCCACAGTGCCCCCTCGCTCCCGGACAGAGATATAAAAGTGCAAGCCCATAAGCCAGGCAGGGAGTCAGAGGAGTATGCCCACTGCTTTTCTGAAGGTCTGGGACGACAGAATCACAGTGAAGATGTGTCCTGAATGTGGGCCTATGTTAATGAGGGAACAAGGTGAAAAAAAGAGAACACTGATGCCAAGCAGATGAAATGAAAGCCTTTCCAAACACTTGTATTACACAGTGCCCACGTGTCCACCAACGGCTCTTACTGACCAACCATTAGATGAGAACCTATTGCGTTTCATCCATACAGTCTTGTTTGTTATAGATTCCTGTCACCGTATCTAAAACGTATTTCTTGCTGGAGGTATACTAATGATGCTGTGCTTTGAAAAGTATCATTTGGTTTTGGGTTTTAAATATTTAACACATTAATGAAAAGGTGACTGAGGAAAGCACTACTTTATCAATAAATAGCACCCAGACCAATTTGTCTGGGAGGAGACATGCCAGCAATCATGGTGGGCATTTCCAAGAGTCTTCGTATATTGCTCCTCATTTCTGACCACCTTGTAAGTAACTCTGAATTTACTAGCATTAGTCCAGGTTAACTTCATAGTTACATTTGGATTTTCAACTGGACGGAAGGTCGGTGCCCCTAATCCTTGAGTTGTTCAAGGGTCAACTATAGTTAATCGTTTCATTAAACTAGTTAAAGTTTTAAAAAGGCAAACGGGATAACTATTTAAAATAATAAGCACATTTTTAATATGGTTCTCATCTCTCTTCTCGAGCAGACATTTTTCTCTAGCTCAGACTTCACCTACACTTTCTATTCGGAGTATCATCTTCCACAGTCTCAACATGGACAGTCACATGTCCTAGACCACGGCCTCCTCTAGGCTCTTCAATACACTCTCCAAGAGTAACTGGTTGGACCAATAGGACAGAAGTGATGCTGGTGGACTTCTGAAGCTGGAGTGTAAGCAATACAGCTTTTGCTTGGCTCTGCGCCTCTGCAGACACACAGCGCTGAGCCACCATAATACAAAGGCTGGCTCTCCGGAAGCCCCCAGCAGTGCTGGGAGACCACACCGGGGTCGGGGTCGAGAGACGCCTAGAAGCTCCCGCTGTTCCAGCCCCCAGCTGCTGAGGCTTCCTGGCTCGGGCTCCTGAGTGAAGGCGCCTTCAAGATGGCTCCAACCCCACCTACCATCTGACTACAACCTCACGAAAGCCCCTCAACTCAGAACCACACAGCTGAGCCACTTCTAAATTCTCATCCCACAGAAACGGAGAGATAATAAATGAATATTATTGTTTTAAGTTGAGGTAATTTTTTTATTGATTTTTTTTTTTAAGGGAGAGAGAGAAAGATCAATCAGATTCCTCCTGCATACACCCCAACTGGGGAATCAAGCCTACAACCTGGGCATGTGCCCTAACCGGAATGGAACCCACCACCCTTTGGTATGCGGGACAGCACTCCAACCAACTGAGCCACACTGGGCAGTTGAGATAATTTTTACTGTTGGGCATAATTTGTTATGCAGTAAGAGGAAACCAATATGAAATTCATTACAAAAACTACTAAAAACTCTACATTGTTAGTCAACTATTAATTAAATGAACCAGTAAATCAGCTTCCTATTAGACTTCTTCAATCTGCATGTCCTTTCACTGTCTATAACCTTACTCTGCTTTAACACATAGCTCTTATTACCATGTAACATGACATGTTTTACATGACACTAAATGCATCAGGAAATGTGTTCACTTCTGTATCCCAGCCCCAAAAGCAGCATTTGATCGGCAATCAATCACTGGCTGGCTGACTGAATGAATGAATGAGTGAATCTGGAGGTGAGCTAACTTGGTCTTCCCAAAGCACTATTTGATTTCCCAGCCATCTGCCCTCCGTCTTGACTCAGTGTCTCCTGACATGTGTTCACTGCTAAGTTTCTGACTCTCTAATTACTACTTACAAAATTGTTTAACACCAACTTTCCTGTCCACTCAGACGTACAAATCCCACCAGAGAAACCACACCGTCCCACTCCATGATGCCAGTTTAGCACCCAGAGTGAAGCTGGTAATTAATTTTTTCAACACACCTGTGTACTAAACCCTTTCCAGGTGGTCTCAAATGTCAAATAAAATTACTCCGTTTTTCATCCAAAGACCACATGCCTCATAGGAAAATGACCTCATGTCAGATGGTTTACATAGCAACTGAGCCCACTAGCAAAGGCCATGGAGCCATCCCATATATCTCTGTCTATATGATGATTTCATCGAGTCGGCTAAGTCCTTTCACTATGGCAGACCTAACAAAGCACTGCCACTGGGTGAGTATCAGAGCACGCTTCAGTGCATTTCAAGTCAAATGAGAGCTGGCTAGTTAAGCAGCAGCATTAACAGATGTAGGAATACCGCCAGCAAAATATCTCTGGCCAATTATGGCTGCCCAGCTACACCCAAATTAAAAATAACCCAATACTAACAACAGAACCCACACAGGTGTTAGAGGCTCCTCCTCCCCCTGTGATATCACTGGTATCACCGTGGAGTCTCCCCGTCAATGTCCCTGTAAAGTGGTCATAAATAAGTCATTGAAAAGTTCACCTTCTTGAACAAGGTAGATCTCAGCAAAAAAAGAAAGAGGAACAAACTGAAAAAAAGAAATGTGGCTCATCTGTAAGTGACAAGCCAATAAAAGAATAGAAATCTTTAGTGAAGAAGCCTTCTGAAAAAATTGTAATTAAGAGTCTAAATTAGTGGCTGCCCAACAGAAACTGAATGTGAGCCAAACATGTACCTTTAATTTTCTAGTAGCCATATGTTTTAAAGATAAAATTTTAATAATATGAGTTTCTAATGTCCATTTTAACTTGATCTATCTAAAATATTATCAATTCAGCATATAATCAATATAAAATTATTAAATAGTTTGCGTTCTTTTTTTCCTACTATGTCTGTGAAATTCAGCATGTAGTTTACACTTACAACACATCTCAGCTTGGACTGGCACATGTGGCTGGTGGTTACCAAGTCAGGTAGCACAGGTCTAGAATGATCCTTATTTCTGTTTTGTAAAACATTAAAACTTCCAAAGCACTAAAAGTTTCCATTAGGGAGGTAAAATAAATACACTGTTAGAATTATGGACAATGATATCACATAGTCTTAAATGAAATAAAATCACAAAAGCCTGTTATTTTAAATTAAATGAAATCTGTCCCCCAGAAGAACTCAGCCCCCCAGAAGTTATGATCTCCCCACAAACGGGAAACTGAGGCCCTGACGGGCACCAGGGGCGCACTTCCGCTCCCGCCATGCAAAGGGCTCCTGAACTTTGCTTCTCCTTCACCACAATCTGACAAGGGCCAGGGCTCCTCGTTTACCTTTGTTCACTTTAAAGGATCTCCAAATAGGGAGGGAAAATCAATTACTCCTTTAGGAAATGTCCGGGGATAGCGGGGAAGGGAGTGTATTTCAATTACAGAAGGCAACCTCGCTCCTAAGGCAGATCCCTGTCTAACGGTGGTCATTGTTTTCCTTTTTATTACCATTCGGTCTCATGCTGTCCCCATGCAGAACAACTACCACAAGGGTCTCTCGAGGGAGAGTCCCCACATGGGGTGCTGGTAATGGGCCCCACCATGAGGCTGCTCTGCTGGCTTTTGTTTGGAACAATAGCATTCCCATGATACCTCACTCTTGCTGAAAATATTGGTATTAAGAGAGCATGAACACAGCTGTGTGTAAATTACACACAGAGATTAGATCTGTATATTTATAAGGAACACAAACATACTAATAGCACAGTTACATACACAGTCGGGTACACTGGGCTGCATGGAGAGTACCGTTTGAGTTCCAAAGTATTTCTTTAAAATTTTCTAGAATGAAATGCTTAACCTGCACGTCAGGCTGAGGTTCTTCTGCCCCTCCTCCCATGCAGAATGCCCCCCCACAGATTCCTCTTCACTTTCATTTGCAATATGGGAGAAATTATTTGAAACTCTATGAAAGAGAAATCTCACAATAAAGAGCTTTAAAATTAACTTTTATAGTAAAAATAAATCAATATGGGATGATTTTCAGTTAAAAAGTAATAATTATAAATTGGGGGAGGAGGATAAGAGAAGGCAGTGTGGGCAGAAGCAGAAAGTGGGAAGAATCTGAAAGTTCAGAATTAACTTGTCCTGCAATGACAGTGTTGGCTTCTCTACACAAATGCATTATGTACAGAGAGGACGACCTGTTCATACCGCATGGGGAAGGCAGGGTTCTTTGCATTTTTCCACTAATTTTGAAAAACAGAGAGAAGTGCACTCAGCATTATATATTCACTGCATTAAATCCAGATATAGACACGTGACCAGGAAACCTGGGCTCTGTTCTCTGCCTGATTCTATCACAGCTTTCAATGACCCAGAGGAGCCCTTAACATTCATTCCCTGGGCTGAGTTTCTCATGGAAAGATGGCATCCCAAGTATCCTAATTTACCAGATAAAGCACTAACTTTTAAATTGTTAAGTGTTCCAAGAAGGTAAAAGAAAAATAGTAATAATCCAACTAAGCAGAAATGTGTGTGTGTGTGTGTGTGTGTGTATGTATATGTATGTGTGTGTATATATACATACATATACATATATATATATATACATATACATATATATATGAATGGATACATAATAAGCTCACTATAAGCCTTAATTTTATTCTTTAAAAGCTTTAAAAAACATGCTCCAACTGATACTCTTCATCTTTTATTTTTTCTTGGTGTGGTTTATATAAACTCCTGGTTTAAAATGAAAGAAAAGGTCCATTTCTGAGGCTTGGGTTTACCGTGCTTACAGTTCCACCAATAAATCATCTCCCAATCTGGGCTTGGAAAAGCACTGGCCACGGTTTGATTGCTCCAGCCCCAGGTTGCCAGGCAACCAACACAAGGGGGAAGTCTGAGAAGCGCTGACAGATAGCCAAGTGGCTGAAACAACAGACTTCTCTCTGTCAAAAATGTGTTTCAGAGAGCCACTTCCCCACCTCTGCTCTCTGCTAAACACTACACGATTGTAAAATCAAAATCAAAAGGCCACTGTAATAAAAACACTTCCTGCTCAATTACGAATTGTTAAAAAGCTGTGGGGAGGCCCAGATCACACAGTGTATGGCAACAGAAATGTGATACTGTAAATGAGATAAAGTCAGCAGCATGCGAGAAACCTGATCTAAATGCAGCTCTGTAGCTTCGGGTCAGGGGACCTGGTGTGTGGAGCAAATCAGCTGCCTAAGAAAGCACCAGAAAGAAAATAATGAATGTTGAAACGTTACAGAAACAAACCAAACAATAACCAAGAAGCCGCAGGTCCCCGTTACTTAATAATAAAACCAAGAACATGCTCAATTGTTGTGGAACAATCTGGAGATAATGAAAGTTTTCTCTCTCTGGGCTGATTTCTTGTGTAGGATAGGGCAAGGAAGATCAAGGACCCGCAGGAACCACGCCCCCTGGCGGATGGGCAGGTGGGTGGGATTCCCTAATGCTTGACAGTCACCTGGACTACAGGAGACACGAATGCCCTTCAGATGATGCCTGGTAACAACAGCAGGTCTGAGGTCTGACATCGACGGCAACATCTGCAACACCTCCGGTGCCTGCCCCGAGCCAGTAACCGCCCCAGTCCCGCCGTGTCCCTGCTATGCAGCATCCTTCCACGAAACCCCTGTCCTGACTGCCATCCAGGGCGCCGGGAACTCTCTGTGGTTATTGGAAGAGGTCAGCACTAAGAACAGGTTCACCTTTTTTTGTGCCACGGACCCTTTAGGCAGCCTGGTAAAGCCTAACCTCTTCCTAAAAATGGGTTCTAGATGCCTAAAATAAAATGTATGGATTAAAAAGGAAACCAGTTATTTGAAGACAAGGTACCAAAACATTAAAAAAGGTGAATATGCAGACCTTATTGACAGTAAGAAACCAAGATCTCTCAGAGGGTTTTGGTTTCTATGGATGTTTTTTAGGGGGCGGTGTTGTTTCGTTTTGTTTTACAATAAGAGCTTTGGCATTATGACAAAATGGAGGGCCAGGACAGCAATTTATTCATCACTTAAGTTACCAAAGCAATGCACAGCCTGGCTCACTGCCCAAAGCTGACCAACTCGGAAGGTGTGCAAGGCTCCCGGGCTGGCCCTCTCCACGCCGCCAGCCCAGAGCCCACGGGTCCTGCCTTTTCCTGGTTTTTCAGGGCCCAGCTGAGGGCCAGGCAAGAAAAATGCGTAGGTCTATTTTCTGCAAACGGGTGTACAGACACAAAAGGCTTTAAGGGCACGTGGACTCAAATAGTTCTAAGGCAATATTCATTTCCCAGCCTTCAACTTTCAAGTTTTCTTTCCCAGTCATCTACCGAGGAACGAACTCTTGTGCAGAAGGTGAAGGGCCACCCTCCTCTCACCTCACAAGCAAATGCGTCCCTCTCCCACCGGGGTGCTTAGCAGCGGGGCCTGTGCAGAAACTCCAGGGCAGAAGCACAGGTCCATTCAAAACACGGTGTGGATGTGGGCACAGTGACTAACTATGTTCACCATAAGAGCCTTAAGCAACTCAGGTACTTTCTAATTCTTTGCTTTCATCA